ACGCATGGCTTGTTGTAAAAATGAGGCATCAAAACACCCTCATGATACTAATAATTGCTGGAAGTAATTTAACACGGTTTTTCTGCATTAGGAAGGAAAGGAACTCTGGGGAAATACAAATGAGGGAATTGAAGAGAATATATTTTAAGAAGAAAATTTATTCAAAGGGAATTTTTCCATTTAAATTGTCTTGCTTCAGTTGAAATTCCAGATACATTTGAGGAAAAAAAATTCCTCCAGATATTTTCTGGAATTCCCCAAAGTGTTTTTTTTTTTTTTTTTTTTGTCTCTCCTTATGCATCATTTTTTATTTTACTCCTTGCTAGGAATTCTTATTAGCCAATCTAACCATTCAATTTATCCTGCCTATTTTGTAATGAATAAATAGCACATACTGTTAATTGGCCACCTGGGGTTCAAAGAGGAGAAATATGGAGTGGATGTCTGAACGCTGCAATGTGCTGACAACATATTGACCACACTCGAGTTCACAAGATTTAAAATCAAGCTTCCACACCCTATTTGCACCTCCCTCCCCCTGCTCCATTCTTGACTGTCTGTGAGACTAATATAATTTTTTTAAAGTGATTTATTTCTAACAGATGTGATCATCCAGCCATAGGGACCTAGATGCACAATGTCCCCTAACAACTTTAATTTCTGGATATAATAAGCATATATTCCACTAATAAATAATTATCACTCTGTTAAGGAAAAAATGCCCAGGCTTGCAGTACGGTGACCAGGTACATCTGGGCAGAAAGGACAGAGAGATGGACTCTCCTGAGGCCCTTACTGTGCTCACCCTACACGTGCTAATTATCGTATTTCTAAAACGTGGTAGGCCACGAAAAAGAAAATTAGTCACAGTGTAATGTACACAGCAATATTCAGAAAGCTACTTGCTGTGGGTTAAATGTGTCTGTTACCCAAAAGTTCATGTATTGGAAACTTGCCTCTCATTGTAGAGTGTCAAGAGGGTGGGAAATCTGATTATGGTGTTTGAAAGGCGATTGGATCATGAGGGCTCTGCCTTCATGAAATGGATTAATCCATTAATAGGTTATTAGTTTAATGGGTTATCAGGGAGTGGTTCTGGTGGCTTTATAAAGAGAGCAAGTGAGCAGATTATCTCTCTTGCTCATGCCATTCTCACAGTGTCACCATGGGACCCTGTATGGAGTCCCCACCAAGAAGAAGGCCTTCACCAGGTATGCACCCTGGACCGTGGACTTCCCAGCCTCTCAAACTGTAAGAAATAAATTTCACGTCTGTATAAATTACCCAGTTTCAGTATTCTGTTATAAGCAAGAGAAACGGACTAATAGACTACGTTTAGCTACACATTTAGTTTCTTGCAAATGAGATATTATACAAGATTAGATCAGAAAAGATGACAGCATTGGTCTGGTTTGGAGCTCAGTCTGTGAGACACACCAGAAGAGCAACTTGCCTCCCCCTCACCCCTCAGCATCTCGAGGGCAGGTACTGGACATGTGTCCTCATTGCCTTTGCTGTGATCCCCATTCTGATTTCGAAGGCTGGTGAGTTGGCCCCAGGCAGTGTCATGAAGTCAATGAGGACATCACAGTTGTACCTGATGAGGTTTGGGCTTTGGTCCAGTACTGCCTGGTACTAAGTGAGGTATTGCTAGAACGTCGTGAACTTTGGGTAATATTTTAAATAAGTTTATAGTTATCTCAAGTTGAGCTTCAGAGGAGAAACCTGCTCTAATTTTCCCATCCACCAGCCTGCCTCTTGGCCAGCCTTGTCTTCGTTCCCCACTGCTACCCCTCAATGCTGGGGTCAGCTGCCCCAAGACCATTCTGCTCCTAACATATTTTGTGAAGCAGTGCATGCTTGTGCAGGGAGAATGAGAAAAGGAGAAAACTTTTTATTTTACTTTTTTTTTTTTTTTAAATTCTGGACTAGTATCTTTAGACAGGACCCTGTCAACACCTTATCACACGATGACATCTTCATGTACTGATTTCCTCTCTGAAAACCTATTTCAGATCATATTAACTGCAGTTTATCAGGTGCTGGCTTGCTCCTGTCCCTCCACAAGGGCTGCCCCTCTGCAGGAGGCACCTCCTGAAGGCACACAGTGGAAAGAGCCAGAGCCAGCTTCTAATCTCTCTAATCCATGTTTCTTGAGCCCAGGTCCACTGCAGATCACCTTATGCCACAGCTTTGTAAGGTGTCTCATGGAAGTATTTTTATATTTTTTAAAAAAATCAGTTGTTTTAATATTGGCCTAATAAATGGGGACAGATTGGAAAAATGTTCCCCATCTGCCTCCTGAAGCAGAGACTTGCCATCAGATGGTTTTTTTAAAAAAATTATTTATTTTCCATGACCGGTAAGGGGATTGCAGCCCTCGGCACAGTGTGGTTTGCACCACGCTCAGCCAGTGAGCGCACCGGCCATCCCTATATAGGATCCGAACCCGCAGCCTCTGCGCTATCAGCGCCGCACTCTCCCGAGTGAGCCACTGGGCCAGCCCAGATGTTTTAAAACCAGACCCCTGTTTCTTCGCCTGAATAAGGTAAAGATGTTTGTCCACATCCTAACTTCCATTTGAATGCTACCCATTGTTTAAAGGAAGCAGAGACTTGTCCCAGAGCCTTCTCTGAACTTTCTACTCCAAGTGAGGCTTTCATTCTTTCAATCTTTTATCAGTTGGTTTCTATATCTGTACTAGGCAATAAGTCATATCAAGCTATGTGGCATCTCTTTGTCCTACGGAACTGTAATTTGTGGCTTTCATTGATATTTAGCTTTTTATAAATAATATCTTGTTCCTCTAGGCTGATAATTCAAGAGACAGCACTGATAGTAGAAAGAACAAACTTTAGAAGGAGAGAGGCCTGCAAAGGAATCACAGCTCCATGCTGGCTGTGTGACCTTGGGCATGTGACTTCACATCTCTGAGTTTTCATTTCCTCACTAATAAATTATAGATACAAATACTCCACAGAGTAGTTATTAAGATGAAATGAGATGGCCCGTGTAAAGTGCCCACAGCGTGTTTTATGCAGAAAGTTCTCAGCTTATAGATTGAAATTGGGAACATGTAAATGATTCTTCTTCAATTAGATTTAGCTGTGAACATAGAGATCTCCTTTTAGGCAAAATATAAAGCATTACTGAGCAATTGAAAAAAAAATCGTACAAAATTGTTATAGTTTAGGTAGGAACCAGAAGTAAAGTGAAATCGCCTCCTGCTCATTGGAGATTTCATCAATCCATCAGTTCATTAATTCAGTACCCATATGAACTTGTGCTGGGTGCTGGGAATAAGGGTACACAGCAAACAGAAATCCCTGTTCTCAGGGGACTTTTGATGGGATAGACAGACAATAAACAATATACACAAGCAAAATATATACTGATAAAGTTAAGTATAAAGGAGAAAAATAAACTAGGGAAAAGGGATAGAAAGTGTGTGTGTGGGAAGGCTATGAAATTGCCGCTAGGTAGGCCAGGTAAGGCCTCACCCAGGGTGACATCTTAGTCAAGACCAGAAGGAAGTGTGGGAGCCAGCCATGGGGTCACCTGGAGGAAGAAAGTTCCACGCAGAAAATGCTCCTGTCAACAGATCACAACCCCTGTCCTCTGTGCTATAAGGAAATAATAACTGGTCTTTAATATTTTTTCTCATTGATACTAATGCATACATGCAAACTTCACTTTTTGATTTCCTGTTTTGTTCTCCATCTTTTTCTTTTTCAGTTTAAAGGGAAAATTATATC